TCAGCTACTGGTTCTTCTGGATGGGCTTTTTTTAATGTTAAAAAAAATCCTTTGGGAATACTAAGGGAGGGAAAATATACCTTTTTATTAAAAAAATTAACTGACATAAAATAAATATTTTGTCGATAAAAATAAAAGATTTGTAGAGTTGTTTTTTTAACTACCGTATTTTTTGGACTATCAGGCGCACCAGATTATAAGAGGCATTAAGCGAAACTAAAACATTTTGACAGATTTCTGAGCACTGTATAACACATAAAACCAGGTGGAAGTCAGTAAGCACAACCAGAATGAATACATAAGGTGCACCGGATTATATGGCTCACTGTTGATTTTGGGGGAAAATTAAAGGATTTGAAGTGCCCTTATAGTCCAAAAAATATGGTAAAGCACCTTAAGAAGCTAAAATGTAAAAGAAAAAATATATATATATTTTTTTTTTATTGATATTTTATTTCAGGCCAGGATAGCACTTCCCTGGTATGTTGTGGGCAAAAATATTTAAAAAAGTAATTTAAGCAGATAAATGAGGTGGTTAATTTTCCTCTAAGGAACAATTGTCGTAAAATTAAAGGACCCTCTCAGGGTTAAATCCATCAACCACATGGTTCTGCACTACCTGTATCAGTAATGGTAAATGGACTGTACTTATATAGCACCTTTCTATCTTATCAAGATACTCAAAGTGCTTTACAATCTGTGCCCTCATTTATCCATTCATACAGCACTCTACTAGATCTCTACAAAGACTAATCAGTGCTTCATCACAGTCATACACCGATGGGACACGTATCAGAGGCAATGAGGGGTTCAGTGTCTTGCCCAGGGACACTTCAACATGTGACTGCTGGTGGAATCAAACCCCCAACTCTTGCATTGGAGGACGACTGCTCTAACCACTCAGCCACAGCCGCCCCATTGATAAGTGAACTCAATCAATAGGGTTTGAATTCACAGAAATATCACATCGGCTCGTATTAATGACAGTGGTTAACCTGGTTTATGAGCACAATATTTGGCTTATCCTACTGGATTTTTTTTTTTTTACTGGAAAACAGTTGAACTGCATGTGGCGTCATTGCCAAATCTGAGTCTGGACCTCAGAGGTAAATAAAGTGAAGCAACATCAAGAGTAGAGACCATCTTTAGTGACCTGATTAGTGAAAAAGAACTCCTCGGTTAGATGAACCCTGATCTGATCATGAGACTGGATCTGAATGTTCCTCTGTCACAGTTTCCACTTCAGAACTAGTTCAGTGTTTATACAAACTCCAACGCTGCACTTTATCTAATGTTTATAACCAGATCTAACTTGTTGATTTTTTTTATTTTTTTTTGCAGTCTTTATGTCAAAAAGAGGCAAAACAAACAAAAGCTGGACTATCGCTTTAATGGACTTCCTCCATGTGTTGTGTGCATGCTTGGCTATGGGCATTAAAGTGTTCACATGTTTGTGGCAGTCGTATGACGTAAAACTATGAGCAACCAACTTTCTGTTAGTTTTAAATCTGCCTTTTTTTATGGGGGAGGGAAGCACATCACAACACCGTTTTTCCACGAGTATCTGAGCCTTCTCATGCAGAAAGAGCTCACATGTGACTCACAGACCCATTGTCCTGTGTGAATCCATGCTCCTCAACTCCCCCCCCCCCCCCCCCCACACACACACACACATTTCTCCTCTTTTTCTTGGTTCTACTACCCTCCCCCTCGTTTCTTTTTTTTACAACTATATACGCACCGCCGTCGTCCAAGCTGAGTGACAGGAACAGACTTGCTCTGACCTGCAGCTGAACCGTTAGAGGTCAAAGGTCAGGTGCCTTATCTGAGATGGAATGCTGTGCCTGCTGCCTAGAAAGAGGGGTCTCAGATAGCATGAAAAAAGACACACACACACACACACACAAGCTGTGTAGCGTCTGTTGATGCTGTCTGTTCTTTAGTTTTGGATGCTCAGAGAAGGATTTCTTGCTCTGTGTAAATTGTAAAGAAGGAAAACTGGTAACTGGGAAAACCAGTACGTTTTCACAGCATGTTGAGATTTAGGGAAGGCCTGTTTCCTGCTATAATTCTAATCTACATCCCACCTACTTTTGACCAAGAAACCTGTGTCAGTATCATCCAAAGCAAGCAACTGCTCCTTCAAATAGCTGATTTCTGATTATATCTGTTTGAATCTGTACCATTAGACTGAGTTTTAGTCAGATTTAAGTCTGCAGGAACATCTGTGAGATCTGCTTGATGACACCACACAGTCATAACAGTCCCACGCACAGACGCCGTGCCCTCCAGTCTGTAAAGATGAAGTCTCATAGCAGGATTGGACAAACATGTGAGGGAAGCCATCTCTGTTTAGAGTCACAACACACCACATGCATGCACGAAAACGCTTCACACCCTTAAACACACCTTGTTATATTCATAATGTCAAACTTTATGTGCTTAAAAAGCAGTGATTTTGCTGACATAACTTGGTGTTGGAGTCTGTACGCCTGTGTGTGTGTGTGGTTTCTTGTCTTGAGCCAGGGTGTCAGATCTCTGATGGTGAAAAGACTCCATTGTACACAAAAGGCCAGACCATTTCTGAAGAATGTTACAACAAAAAATAAAAAAAAAACGGAGGAGAAATGCTTTTAAAAAAAAAAAAGAGAGAATTTGAAACTAAGAAGGCAGAAAAAGAGACAGTTCCATTGACTTTTATACTAACATCTCATTTTAATCACCAGATCTTTTCCGTTGTGGAAGTGAACAGGGGACATGGAAGTATGGACTGTTCATCTGTATGGTTCACCTTGAAAAATAAGTGAAGTGATGTATGGCCACCGACACATATACATACATATATGTGTTTGGAGGGGGATGTTCTGACCATCTCAATGTTTTGAGGAAACTGTAATTTTATTAGTTTTTATATTACTTAAAGTATAATTTCCTCAAATGATAGGGGTGTCTGAAGATTAATCTGGGGTGGCCAAGGCCACCATTGGCCACCCCCTGGCTCCGCCGATGTGGTGGCTAAAACTGCTCCAGACTCCGTCCCTCCCCTCTGCCTCAGACGAACAAACAAACAAACCAGACCTCTGTTCAATGTAACTCCTACCCTCTTGAATATCTTTCACCAACAACATTAAGGTTTACTTGTTCAATTCCAGTCCAGAAAAGACTCATCTCAGAAACGACAAACGTTCACTTTTCACATCCCTCAGCGACGGGGGCTGTCAGCTTGTTTATGAAGCAGGAGGTGGGGGCTCCTAATTGAATGTGTCGAAGGCTCAGAACAAGCACCCCATCACCTGTTGCCAAAGCTAAGTCACCCTCATGGTCTGCGAGTGAATGCTCGAGTGGAGGAGAAAAGTCTTTGTCAGCGAGTCTTTAACAACGAAGGAAACTGCTTCATGAATTTAAGGGGAAAACACAAATTAGCCCACTTGTGTTCCTCCCAGTGTAATTGGGCTCGCTGCTCGAGGCCAGGAACTGAAGGATGGCGGTCACGCATGCATCTACAACATGTAGATCTGATGAATCCAGCATATTTCCACATCATCAACAAGAGGAAACACCATTTGGACTTTTGTTCTCCTCGTTATAAGCTCTAATGGGGGGAATTGCGCAGATTTTTGCTTTTTTTGTTATTTACAGTAGATAATCAAAAAGAAAGTGTTGCCAAGTTTAACTGTATTCAGTCTTCTCTTCGCGCTGCAGAACAGTTGTGAAGATCAGCGTCTGATTATGATCTGAAGCAGGCAGGCGTCAAACAGAACTGAAACATCGTACTGCTTTCAAATGATTGTATTTTCCCCAAAGTTTTGATGTTCTGACTGAGACATGGTCTGGCTGATTAGATCAGACGATGATAAATGACTGTTTATGTGAATAAAAAGTTTTTTTTGTGTGAACAGAAATGATAAAGCTGTTGTATATTTGGGCTTATCGGTAGATCTTAAAGCTACTGTAAGAAAAAAGGATAATTATGGTATATCTGGCACCACTGGAGCAGTTTTCTCAGCTTGTTATTTAAATGTTGGTGCAGCAGTGTTGATCTAAAACGTGAGCAGAGGAGATGTGGGAAATCCAGGACTTTATCAGAGAAGATGTACACAAACATCCACGTGCGGCCTGTGGATGTGAGCATTTATGGATGCTTATAGTATTTTTCTCTGTAAATGAACCCTACTTTGCTTAGATCTCCTCTCTGTTTCATTAAGAAGTGTTGAACTTAAAGGTACACGAACAGGAAAGAGTCAACCTCGGTGATATTAGTGTGGCATCACGATGCTTTCTCAGATTCATCGGCTCACTCCACTAACAGGAGGAACTTTATTCATGTAAACATTATTTTCTAAAACATTTTTGTGTGTGTGTGTGTGTGTGTTTGTGTGTTTGTGCTTCAGTTCCACTGACTCCTGAAGATCTGCACTTGTCAGACTAAAAACCCTTTTCGAGGTTCATCATAGTTTGTGAGCGAGCAGAAGAGAACCGGGTGGGGAATCAGTGACTTTAAAAGGAGCCGAACGAAAGCGTCTCTGTTGTTTTTGTTGTTTTCCTGCAGCTTTTGTTGTTCTGCAAATTATTCCTCCACTCTTATAAACTGCAAACCTGATCGTCTGGAAATCTCTCAAGTAAAACAACAGCACCACCTAGTGGTGAACATTAGTAAAGTCAAATTTCACTTTTTTATTTTTTTATTTAGATCATCAGCTGACTCCACACTTTGTTTTAAAGTTTACCAAGATGACATTGAAGCTTTTTATTGTAAATTAATCCCAGGATGTTACTCTCATGCTCCCACTGGTGGTCTGAACAGGCAGAAAGCCCCCAGGGGAACAGGACTCTGTCTAAGCAGCTTGTCTTGGGGGATGCGAGTGTTGGAGCAGGTGTAAAATTTCCTGCTGAAGATGCTTTAATCCTGTCTGCTTCACACCTCCCTGTCCTGCCTTTGAAACTAAAACATGTCTTCACAGCAGATGCATAAAAAGCTACTTTTTTATCTCTTCCTGCAGGCCCAGAAAAATGAGCGGGAGTCCATCAGGCAGAAGCTGGCCCTGGGCAGTTTCTTCGACGATGGCCCGGGCATCTACACGAGCTGCAGCAAGAGCGGCAAACCCAGCCTGTCCTCACGGTGAGAGCTTCGACAGTCCTGAAACTCTCTTGACCACAGGGGCCGTGTGATCGATACTTGGAAAGCACAAGAGCTTTGTTTTGTTTCTTGCTTTGGTAAATCAGTTAGAAAGTTCTGGGGAAAATAAAAAATAAAGTCCCGCTCATGTACACAACTTTTGGCCGTTTTAATAAGATGAAACATAATCGTATGAACTTAAAGTCAAAGAAAACGGATTATCAGGAAGTAATGGTGTGAATAAGGCAGATGTGATCAACCCTTGTGGCTCTCACTTCCTAAAAGACTTCTTATACTGTATGCACACACACACACACACACACAGATCAACTCGCTGCTGGGATCTCTGACACTGAATCTTACTGGAATCGAACGTTCGGTCAGCGCTCCACTGCACATTTCGCTTGTGCTGTTTGACTCGCGTGGATTTTCGGCACTGCTGCCGAATTCTGATAAGCGCCAGGAAATGGCATCACGTCACCGGTACAACAGGACCACCGGGCGGGGAGTCCGCTGGCATATCTGAGCCAGGGACCGGCGGACGATCGAAATAATCCTCAGAAATAACAACGGACCACTCGGGTGCCGCCGTAAGTGGATCTCTGCTGTGTAATCTATCAGCACTGTTTGTAATTACTGAACTGAATAAGCAGATTATTGATCGACCGCGGGATGGATCCACACACACGACTGATTTTCTGCTCGTCCATGACACAAACACACACATATGCGCTCTGGACTCGAGCGAATTGTATCTCACACACACACAGAGGCCTCCTGGATTGATCCCTGTGAAGACAACAGGAGAGATGATTCAAAACACAAGCACTCTTTACATTTTATCCCCGGCAGTGAAGCAGCTTCTGTTCCTTTTCTGCTGAACTCCTCATGTAGATATCTGCAGCACACATGGCTCTTTAAGGACAAAGAGCTGGGCTGAACTTGTTAAGTGTCGTTTGTTCTGTGCATTTTGTCAGAGACGCTGAGTAATCGCTCCGCTTTCCTCTCTTTCGCCGTGTGCCGGCAGGCTGCAGAGCGGCATGAACCTGCAGATCTGCTTCGTCAACGACAGCGGCAGCGACAAGGACAGCGATGCGGACGACAGCAAGACGGAGACCAGCCTGGACACGCCTCTGTCCCCCATGGTAGGGAAGGAACGCCCGCGCGGTTACCGAAAAGCTGATAGCTCTTCCTCAGAGCTCGAGAAAAAAGCTCCGAGGTCCTGAAAGGTGTGCAGTGGAAAGTAGCAAGGTGACACCCGATGGAGCAACAGCAGCGCTGACAAGAATGAAAGCAGTAAAATAGACGGGGTGTTCATTATGATTCAGTGAGATAACGGGCGCTTTAGTCGCCGTGTGATTGTGTTTGCTCACATTTATTGGCCTGTTAATCAGATTAAACAAAAGGTGAGTTGGTGAGTGCCTGCCAGGACCATGGATGGATGGTTACATTAACCTCCTGCCTGCCTGAGGCACATGTGTGAGAGGTAAACACAGCAAACTGAGCTTTGGTTTACAGGCGTCTGTGTGAAACATGTGCACATTTAAATGTCAAAAATTGATTAAAAAAATATTTAAAATTATTACCTTAAAGCAATACTCATATCTTTTCAAGAAAGGGTTATGAACAGATAATATCTTACCTGTTGTGGATAGGTGTATGACTTAATTCCGTTTGGAAAAGCAGTATTATTCTGGCTGGATTGATGAGCAAATGGCTAGTCTGAGTGAGACCAAGAATAAAGTGGATTAAGAACTGCGCCTATAAAGGTGGTGGCAGCTAGCTGTAGCACTTCCTGTGCAGCCTGGGTCTTTTATGGTGGAAATATTGTGATATATCCCCCTGGAAAAAAATGCATCCGTCTTCTACCACTTGTCTGTGGTTAGGTCGTGGAGGCAACAGGTCCAGGAGACAAGCCCAGATCTCCCTGTCTCCTCAGCGACGCTCTCCAGCTCCTCCTGTGGGACCCACAGAGACCAGAGAATTCCTCCAGCAAGTCCTGGGTCTGCTCCGGGATCTCTGCCCAGAAGGGAAAAGTCCTGAAAAGATCCAAAGGGAGGCGTCCAGGAGGCATGTGACTCAGATGAACCACCTCAACTGACTCCTTTTGCTATAGAGGAGCAGCAGCTTTACTTCGAGCACCTCCCAAATGTTCCTGTAAAGCTGAGCCCAAAACAATCGTGTATTTTAAAACCGATGATGGTGTAAAGCAGTGGAGTCCAAACATTTTCATACGTGGGCCAAAACCTTGATGAATAAAAGAGTCACGAGCCACAAAAATGTGAATTAAAATAAATATATTAATAATAAATAAAAAAGCTTACTTTTGTTTTTAACTCGATGTAAACAACATTTTGGAAAAAGGACACATTTTTCTAATTTTGGTGGAGAAGGTGTTCTAAATGATTGTAGATCCTAAACATTAACATTTTATTGATTTATTTATTGAATTTATTTGATTTGATTAGTTTATTGCCAAAGGATTGTATTAAACTTAATATTGCTCATTTTGTGATTTATTTATTGTTTTACCCATTTTGCTGTTAAACCTAAAAATTACATTAAAATTATCATCCATAAACATTTTTAAAGGTCTGCGTCTCTTAAGCCTACAGGCCAAAATTATACCATCCTTAAACTGCAAATGTGGGCCACACAAAAACACTCCAAAGGCCAAAAATGGCCCCCGGGCCGCACTTTGGACACCCCTGGTGCAAAGGGTCAAAGAACATTTTCTTGTTAAATTGCTTGAGATTCAAAGTGTTTAAAGACGGTGATGATTTCCTCTGGTTTAGGCTTTACTCAGAATAGACATTACGTCATCAGTCCAGTCAGAAATTTAACTCTGTTTCTCCAAACTGAGAACCTACTACAGGTAAGATATTCTTTACAACTTTTCTACCAAACCCCACTTCAAAAATCTAATTAATCTCTTATTTCTCCTCTTTTCTTTCATTTTTTCCCACTTCCTCTTTTCACCTCCTGCAGTCTAAGCAGAGCTCCTCCTACTCGGACCGGGACACCACGGAGGACGACTCGGAGTCTCTGGAGGACATGGACTTCTTGAGTCGGCAGAAGAAGCTGCAGGCCGAGGCCAAGCTGGCCCTGGCCATGGCCAAGCCCATGGCCAAGATGCAGGTGGAGGTGGAGAAACAGAATCGCAAAAAGTCACCTGTGGCCGACCTGGTCAGTAACAGAAACATTTGATCTGTCACGTTATGATGTGTTGCACATTTAAAAAGTATTTTGGTTGGTTTTACATATATTAGTATAAATATATGATGTAATTAAAGCTTAGAAGTCGAAGTCGCCCCACGCTTCTCTTCCTCCTGCTTCCAGCATCGTTTAGAGAGAGGAAGGCGATGGCGATCATCATTATTTCATCCGCTTGTCTCTGCCCCGCTGCCTCCTCACCCACACACCCAGCCGTGTCACACTATGTTTCCCAGCAGAAGCGCTTTACTTATTCAGTGGAGAGAAGGGCAGCTCAAGCAGGTTTATCTTTAATTCATGCACCGGAAAGCATTGACTTGGGTGTTTTAGGGAGGCGGCGTTACCCCTCAGTCAGAGGGCATCACTGTCGCACTCGGGGCTGAGCGCACGGTGAATGTTAAGCTGTTTTGAGGCTGCAGCTGCCCGCCATGTCAACAACACCAGAGATGTGTTAAACTGACGAATCCTTGATGCTTCCTGGGATCGGTGAGAGCAAAGGTCACGTGTTCAAACAGAAGCTATTTCTGCAGATGACAGAAGATTTCCGCGAACAGGATTAGAAACTGGTGCCAGGCTTACACTAAATATATGAAACAACGTAGCCAGGTGCAATCAATAGAAACTCAAATGCTTTAAATTATATATGAATGTAATGAAAGAAATGGACGAGTTAGTAAACAGCCTTAAATGATCCCGTCCACATCTTTATCTGTTGATGATTTGGTTTAAATGAATCTGACACCTTCTCATAAAAAGGAAGACAAACAGAATAAACAACCGTATTTTACGGCGTATAAGTCGCAGGGGTTTTTTGCACAGATTTGTCAGTCCTGAGACTTCTACACCGAAGCAACTGCTATACTTTTTTTTTTCCATATTCATAACACAATTTTTGACCGAGGCTTTAAATTTCGAAGAACTGCAACAGCAAGTTGTTCCCGTGTGCGCTCGCTTCACTCAGCTGGTGCAGGCGGAGGAATGCTGGAGAGCTAGCGGCTCCGGCTGCGATGGATGGACGGACGGACGGACGGACGGACGGATGGATGGACGGACAGACTGCGTTGCACCTCCCAGGCAAAATGAAGCTCTTTTGACCATTAAATAAATGCACAATAAACACGACGGGCCAGCGGTGATGCATAATAAATGCAACTTATATGTCCAAGTGACTTATATGTTTTTTTCCTCTTCATTATGCTTTTTTTGACTGATGTGACTTATACTCCGAAGCAACTTATATGCCGGAAAATACGGTATATAAATACAACAAAACTGATTTTAAATCATTTTATGTTGCATCACATATATCACATAATGAATATGATGTATGATTGTGTACCATATCAAATATCTATTATACATACATGTCATCAATCGATCATTTAGAATATATCATATTATGTTTCATTGAGATATGATTTATAAAATATAATTGATATATTTATATATATAAAATACAATATATATTATGTATCATATATTTCAATGAGCTGCAATTTATCATATATAAGCAATAAATCATATTCATATCAAATATCTATCATACATGTCAATCAATCATATACAATATATCCTATACAGTATTGTGTTTCAATGAGATATGATTTATAAAATATCATTGACTTGATTTATCATACATTAATGATATATGAAATATAATATATATCATGTATCATATATTTCAATGAGCTGCAATTCATCATATATAAGCAATAAATCATATTACATATCAAATATATATCATATATTTATGATATATTATACATTATACTGTATATATATATATATATATATATATATATATATATTTAAATATCACATATAAAATCACTGATATATAATATGTATCAATGATCTAGCATAACACGTGTCAATTAATTATTAGTGTTTTTATGTATCATTTGTCAGTCATAAATCTATGATACATCATACAAAGTATATCATTGATTTATGGGATTGTTTCACAGAAAGAGAAAGACGTATAACTGAGTGAAATATTTTTTATTTATTCATAAAGGTAGTTTTTGTGTATTTTGGGGGATTGTGACTGCGACTTCTAACTAAAGAAAAAAAATAACAGTGAAATAAATGAGAGACTCTGGCATTACCAAACAACAAAAACACGTGTAGAGACTTAAATTCCACTGTAAAACATCCACTCGCCCGCCCCCAGTTTCATTCAGAAACCAAAACAGTTCCTCAATCTGTTATCAGATCATAACTGGAGATTACTCTGGAGGCACTCAGGGCTCAGGGGATCATTTAGAATGAGTATTATGACGAGTCAGCCACAGAAACTAACACTGGAGTCAACAGCTGACTCAAGACCGCGCTCCTCGCCACGCCCACGCTCTGACGTCACAGCTCTCTTTATGTCACACGCTTAACTGTTTAACTTGTTTAACTGTGCCCGTCCAGTTTCACAAAACTGAAACTGACTCTGGGGCCTCGTGAGCGCGTTGTGAAAGTGAAAGAGTGTTGAGGGACAAAGCAGCGTCTTCAACTCTTGATTTGTTTCTGGAAGTGAACGTGGGAGGGAGAGAGAAGCAGGGAGTTGGACAGAAAGAGAAAGAGAACCGGGTCGGTAACTGTGATGACATCATGGCAGCGAAAACAAATTTGCTCGTGTGTTTCCAAAGTGACACTCGCAGTTATGTAAATGTTTATGGCATGTGCTGTTGCACACCAAGTACAGATGAAAACAACCGATGGACGCCAGAGGTGCCTCCAGATATGGAGGGGGGCACTGAAAATCCTGGGGTGGCACACCAAAACCAACACATTTAATTCCAGTCAACACAGATGTTTGCCTCCCCTGGCCCCTCCCTAGTGCTGCCCCTGATGGACATGAAACACCAGAGAAAGCAACAACCTGTTCCTTTTGAAGAACGTAGCAGGAATGACTGTTCCATATCATACACATTTTATATAATATTTTATTTTTAATTAAAGGTTTGACTGAGGCAGCTCCGGGTGTACTCAGGGGAGGGGGGAAAGGTACCAGAGTAAAAGTTTTACTTAAGTAAAACTCATAAATATGACCTTTAAAATGCTTTTTGGTGTTGAATGTAAAAGGGCTCCTGTCTGTCAGTAAAATGAGAAGGGTTCATATGGATCTGATGGTTTTCATAGCATTTCATGTCATTATATCATTAAATCCTGCTAAATTAAGCTGAATTGAATCGAAATAACCTAAATTATACGGATAAAATTAGAAAACAAAATAGACTTTTGGGGTGGGGGGTATAATGTAGTTGAATCTGTGTTTTGTTTCTGCTCCGTGCATTCACATGAGGTTTAATGCCATTTAATCCTATAAAAATAGGTTAATTTGCAATAAATTATGGTGTTAATCCAGTAGTTGATTAATTTGTAATCGATCCAAAGAAAATGTAAAATTTTTTTACAAATAGGTTCAAAAGATTTTCAGAATTTTCAATTTACTGTGTGACTATTGGACCGGTTTGAAAACTTTTTTTTTAAACAAAATGTTTTATTTTACTCGAATCAGAATTTTAAAACTTGCAGTCATTTGTTCAATAACATAAAGCTGGCAAATAAATGTAGTGTGGTTAAAAAAATTAAGTCAAACATCTGATATGGTAATTAGGAGCAGGAAGTAGTAATAAAGTTTGTGTTTAGGTCTTTGATGAAAGTACTTCAGTTATTTGCAGTTTGTGATGTTTTATATCATAGATGTCAAACTCAAGAGCCGCGGGCCAGATCTGGTCCCCACAAGATGACAATTTAAATATAAAATATTGTATCTCTAATTTTTTTCTTTAAAAAACCTGATAAATACATCATTTAGTAAAGACTTCTCTTACCAGCTGGCTAGTTTTGAAGCCAGAAAGATGGCTGGATCATTCTGTCATTATTGATTCTGATGTGGAAATAACAGAACGTCAAATGAGACAAATCAAACTCCTGATGAACCTGCAACCATGAAAACATATCAGGTATCTCATCAGTTAATGTATCAGCTGAAAGTGGACCATGGCGCGGACAAAGTTTTTAAATTTTGGCTCCTTTTGGTAACCGAGTTCAACACTCCTATTTTATATTTTTCAGATATTAACCCTACTGTCAATGACTAAACACTTAATTTAGGAGGAACTACGGAGTAAAATTATTCAAGTTGCTTGAAATTGTAAAAACACATTGGGCCTGCTGGAAAGATGAATCTCCACGAAGCCTCGGAGCAGATTTGCGGTTCATTCGTTTTTTATCAAACGCTGCTCGTTTGCTTTAGTGACTAAAGAGCCAACAGGAATCCCCTGACTTTACTCTCTTCAAACGAGTGATGCCTCCTTTTGTTTTGGCAGGAAATAAATTAAAATAAAACATTAAAAAGAGACAAATGATCTATAAGGTTATCTGCAACAAATCAAAACAGCTTTTTTTTTTTTACTGATCTATGTTAGTTTATCTTCTAATCCTGCTGCTAATTTACCCTAGTTTGTGTTTTTACCATATTTTAGTTGTTTTTCTTAACAGGGATTCAAAAAAAATTGACAAAACAAAAGAAGAAAAAAAACAAGAATTAAAAAAAAAAAATTGAATCTACCACTGGGACAGATTATTGATGCAATGATTTTCATTTTATTCATTGCGGCTAATGGACGTTAGCCGTTTCCTCCACTGCTCACCTACATCTTTTAAAGGGTCCGATGAAGCTTGGTGGAAGTATCATGATCAGAGGCTGCTGCACCGTTTGTGCCACAGTTATGACTCTTTGTTAAATTTCATTTAAAGGTCAATCCTGTCAGCTCTATAAAGCGTGGATTACAGTTTTCATGATAACACAGATGTCTGATTTATTTATTACACAGTGAAAACTCTTTAAAAAACTGTTACTTAAACATATTTAAGTTTAAGGTAAATGTGTTTTTGATCCCACGATGTATTCTGCTCCGCCTTACATCACATTTAGTTTCAGTTCTGAACCTTGTTCCTTCTTTAAATGTCCACAGTTCTCATGTAATGAAGCAATAATTCTGTTTTTTATTTATTTATTTTAAGTGTTGTTCTGTGCAGACGTTCTGACTCGTTAATATCTTACCTGCTGTACATGTAAGGACAATAACTAACGGATCTCTGGCCCCTGAGCTGAGCTGAAGTGTCCTGTCGTAGGAGTTCATGAGAACGTCTTGTGATGAACTTTTACACCATTCCTTTCTGTGCTTGCATAGACTTTTATGTTAATTACTTTGTAGTGCAGATTCTGTCAGGGTTTAAGACCGTCCACTTTGGTTTTAGTCCCACTCAGACTAGCCGTTAGCTTATCAAAGAGCTATCCCCCAACAGGTAAGATATTGTTTGCTTTGAGCTTGTTTGTTTGCTTCAAAAGATCTGAACTTTCTCTTTATTCAAATTCCTTCACTGCGGTTGATCCAGAGAATAACAAAGGTCTCACACGGTTGTTATTTATGAATCTTGTTTTGTTGGAAAAATTAAATGTCCACAAATATGATGTTAGCATTAGCATAGTGTTGCATTAAAGACAACATTTGAGAGAAAGGCCTTTGGATGAAATGACTTTCTCTGTGTCTCTTCAGCTTCCACACATGCCTCACATCAGCGAGTGTCTAATGAAACGAAGTCTGAAACCCACCGACCTGAGAGACATGACGCTGGGGCAGCTGCAGGTTATAGTAAATGACCTGCACTCCCAGATTGAGAGTGAGTTGACCACACACACAATGCACTCACCTCTGTTTTCATTTGCAGAAATGAGCAAGAGAGCAAATGGAGAAAAACACACACATACATTCTGACCCCTTAACTCTCTCTGTGGATGTGAAAGTACTTTTCTATACGTTAGTCACCTCAGAGCTGTACCAGTCAGCAGCTTCCCCTTGTTGTTTACGGTCACTGCTCTGCGCAGCTTCTGGTACTCGAGAATGAATAATCTCTCATTTTACATTAAACAGCTCACACAAAAAATCCCCATGAGTCTAAAAGTCACGAGCGAGTTTTTTAAATCAGCTAAAGTTACTTTCCCCTCAAAACATCTTTAAGACGGGCTCTGTGTTTTCTGGAAAAGGAACAAGACCCAACAACAACTTGATGCCGCTGATGTGTCTGTCTGAGCTGAAAGCCTTATTCGTGACTCCGAGGTGACTTTATGAGTCCTCTGTGGGAGATTTTGGCCGTTATCTGCCGTCTTTCATCTCCACTGAAAGTCTATTGAGAGCGTCTGTGGTTATTGTGGTATTTCAAGTATTCCCATACTGTTTAGAAAGTTTTGCCGTTTATCGTGCGCGTATCTTCGTGTGTCTCCCCAGGTCTGAACGAGGAGCTCGTGCAGTTGCTACTGATCCGGGATGAACTCCACATGGAGCAAGACGCCATGCTGGTGGACATCGAGGACCTGACCAGGTGAGAAAACACTAGTTGGGGACTGCCTGAAAATGGTTTTGCTCTTCCATCAGCTTTAATGTCGTCCGAACTGCAACGTGTATCCCCACAAATGTTATATCAAAAAGGCCGGCTCGGCACCTTGATGTGTGCTAATACTTTTATTGGCATTCTAAGTTACCGTGGCGACATGATGTAGAGTGAAGAGGTCTCTGAAACATTCGAGTCATTTTGGTTCAAGATGGCTGCCACAGCTACCTCAGAAAACACAAAAATGACATCCATCCATCCATCCATCCGTTATATTTACCCGCTTCTTCCTTTTCGGGTAGCGGGAGTCACTGGTGTCCATGTCCAGCCATCACTGTGCGAGAGGCAGAGGACACCCCAGAAAGGTCACAAGTCCATTTCAACCGGCGGGTCAGCGGACGCACGGATGCTCGTGCCCGCGGCCGGTGCTCGTGAGCGTCCATCTGAGCTTAACGTGGCTTTTTTTCTTTACGTCTTAAACCGTCTGGTCGGACCTGCCCATCCTCAACAAGTAGATTAACAGTCTTTGGTTATCCCATTCAAATGGGGGAGTGGTGGCACAGAGGTTAGAAGATGGATCTGTGATCGGAAAGTCGCAGGTTCAACTCCTGGTACCGTCAACATCAAAATGAGGGTGGAAAAGGTGAAACACCCACACCTGCCTCCACCCTCATTCGCCCCACTCTGGGCCCCTGAGCAAGCCCCTTAACCCCCATCTGCTCCTTAAACAGGTCTCTCTTGAAAATGAGACTACCTGGATAAATAAGGAGTAAATGAAAAAAAAATGCGCCACATAAAAAGCAGACGTTGGGGAGTAATTTATTTATTATTGTGGTCCCTAGTAGGAATGCATCGATCCACTTTCTTCCACATCCAATACCGATATTTGGTGTTCCGTGTAGGTCGATACCGATCCGATATTGATCTGATACAGAAAAACAGTGCTGAATTCCGTTCAACAAACTCAGCGTGCTCTTCAGGGTGAAATCTCTGGAGATGCTTGATCAAGTTGGTAGTGTTATAGCTGGAAGTTTTAGTGACACCCCTTGGAACCGTCACTGTGCACGTATTGCACGTAGCTGTCGAATGTGTTGGCTGAGGTAGTGTGAAATGGTTCCAGATGGCTGATCCTTTCGCTCACTCCATTTTGAAAACAATCTGCAGCGAGTTCGCTAGCGCGTGACATCACTCGGAGCACAAAGCATAGAATTAGAGTGAATAGATCTGCCCAGGCATGGATCGGTCAGGTTGTCACGATACCCGATCCAGACGTTTTTTTCGATATTGGGACCGATACCGATATAGGTATCAGATCGGTGCATCTCTAGGCCCTAGGTAAAACTAATCCTGGGCGAATAAGGTTTTTGACAGTTGATGGTTTTGATCAGGATTTTTTATGGTCTGTTTGCTGGTTTTGAATGTTTCCTGACGTTGTTTTCTTCCTTTTCAGACATGCAGAGAGCCAGCAGAAACATTTGGCTGAGAAGACCCTGTCCAAATAAGATACCCATCCCTGCTCCACCCCGCCAAGCTTCACCCTCCTGCTACAAGATGAACTTTACCCCCCACACCCCCACTCCGAACCATCTCACCTCTGTGTCGATCCGAAACCTTCCCGCTTGCCCCGAGTATTTTCGCTCCCCGCTGCGCCTCCTGTTCCCCGCTCTTCCCCCTCCTGTCAGCCCACAGACTTCACTGGTAGCAACAGCACAGAAGGAAGACATTCCCTCCGATCTGCTTCCGCCAGCGCCGAGGATGGAGCAGCACTTCCTGCTATCTGGGAGAAGAGGAAACCGATCGTGTGTTGCCATAGATTCTGTCCCCAGCTTCCTGTGCAGTAATAGGCCTTGCTTTGCAACTGTTTCTTTTTAACTTTCTACATTTGCCACTAAATTATAACTGTTCAAATACAAAAAAAAAATAATAATAATGTGAGAAAAAATTGCTACAAGAATAGTAGAAAGTCAGTCGTAAGAAGAAACAAAAAGAAACAGTGTATGGAGACAAAAAAAAACTATTTAACACTTAACTTCTTTGGATTATTTTAGCTGGATGGTAATTTCAAAGTCTCTCAAAGTTTGAACCGTTTTAATTCTGCACAAATGGTAGTTTTCAACTGAGAAACGTTCCTTTTCGAAGGTGCTAAAAGAGTGTAAAAGGAAACATGCCTGCCTTGTAGTGGAGTTGTAGAGTTTGGTAATATGTTCACTCTTCAACATTTTGTGAATGTTGATTTTTCTGACACGAGTCATTTTAAATGAATAAGTGTGTTAATATCATTTTCATGCTACTGTATTCAGATGCTTTATTTGAGGGGAGAAACGTTTATGTACAGATGTGTAAAATAAAGGAAAAAACTTTGTTTCATATTTGTTGGTTTGTTGCTCGGTTTGTTGAATTCGTACGTGTCGACGGTTTTTAAAACCAGAGTTCAGATCGCATGTGGGAACGTTATAAACAGTGAATATCTTACTGGTTATAGGTGATTCGGGGATCGACGATGAGCTGTCTATGTGGAACCGAAACAAAACTGGACTACTGCCTTCTAAAAACAACTTCATTCTCAAAAACGTGTCACGGCGGTTCTTAAAAAAGACCATTTTATTAAACCGTCCATTTCACATTACATGGTTTTACATTGGCTTATATGTTTTGTGCAGGGGTGACTGTTAGCAGCAGAAACTAGCTACAGCCTGTTCGCAGGAATATATTTCTGCTGGAATAGCCAGATCATGTTAAATTGGCAATAATATCAAGCTTTTGTGAACTTTTACAATTAATGCTTTTATTTTAAGACTGCAGTACTGTAATCCCCTTTGGTCTTAGCTCTGCTTAGACTAGCCATTAGCTTGGAAGTCTTTTGCTTGTTCCCTCTTCAGGGGTTGCCACAGCAAGTCCTTCTCTGGCCTCACTCCATCTACAAAGTATATCAGATATATATTTGGTCTACATGTATATTTGAGCCCTTGCTTCCCCCATAGGCATTTGTTTAGTCAGGGTCACATGATGCTCCTGCTGTCCTGTACTCCAATGACCTTGCTTTCTCCGATCTGCAGAGGGTTTCTGTTTTGTCAGATAGAAACAAAGAGTGAAGTATATTGAACCCTTAGGACAAAGAATGAGACAGAAAGCTGCAGATAGAGACGAGTGTTTTAAGGTGTGGAAAAGAAGGAGAGGTGTTGAGATTAGAGGCTGTAGACAAAACAGCAGAGAGAGTATAGATAAAAGCAATGGGTATAATGCAGCATCACCTTGATAAATAACATCATACAACACCTTAAACTGCATACATTTAAGTGGGTGGGCCATCCCCACAGCTACATTGCCACTGAAATGTGATTTCTTCTTCTTTCAGCTTTTCCTTCTTTAGGGGTCACCACAGCAAGTCATCCTCCTCCATCTCACTCCAACTACCTCCATGTCCTCTCTAACTGCATCCATTTATCTCTTTCCTCTTTGTCTTTTTCCTGGCAGCTGCATTTCTAACATCCTTCTACCAATATACCCACTGTCCCTCCTCTGGACATGTCCAAACCATCCCAGTCTGGTCTCTCTAATTTAATCTCCCAGTTGTTCAACATGTGCTGTACCTCTGATGATCTCATTCCTAATCTTATCCATCCTTGTCACTCCTAAGGAGAACCTCAACATCTTCATTTCTCCTACTTCCAGTTCTGTCTCCTGTCTTTTTGTCAATACCACTGTCTCCAGATCATACAACAGCTGGTCTCACCACTGTCTCCAGATCATACAACAGCTGGTCTCACCACTGTCTCCAGATCATACAACAGCTGATCTCACCACTGTCTCCATATCATACAACAGCTGGTCTCACCACTGTCTCCATATCATACAACAGCTGGTCTCACCACTGTCTCCAGATCATACAACAGCTGGTCTCACCACTGTCTTCTAAACTTTTCCTTTGACCTTTGCTGACACCATTTTGCCACAAATCACTCCTGAAACTTTTCTCCATCCACTCCATCCTGCCTGGACTCTCTTTTTCACCTCTTTTATCACATTCTCCAGGACAGTGGACCCCAAGTACTTGAAGTCCTGCACCTTTGTGACCTCTGCTCCTTGTAGCCTCACTGTTCCACCTGCATCTCTCTCATTCACACAATGACAATGACAAAGACACAATGGAGTTCTTTCTGACCCTCTCTGTACTCAGCATCCTCAAAGAAAAGATGGTGTCTGTGGTGCTCCTTCTTTCCCATTAGAGCTGTCTACAGCAGGTAAATAATTAGTATTCACATTTCTTACAGAACTCCATATCAAAGGATATGGGATGCTTTAAATTTGTGCTTTCAAAGACTCGAGCAGTTTCTCTTTTTGCAGAATGTGGAAAGTGTATTCAGTGACCACAACTGCGGTGAGACGTTGTGTTGCAACATGAATTATGACTCATAGTGCATTTTCGATTGCATCACTTCATATTCGACTCGTACACTTAATGAAATTGTGTTTTTTTTTTTCCTTTTTGTTTTATGTTTTGTTTTTTTGTCCTTGTGAGTGACTTCTGATTAACTTAGATAACCTTTTAAAAAAGTAATGAGTGGGAGATTTTCATTTATAAAATGGCAGCTTGTGAAATTTAACATTACAAAGACCGCTCAGTCACTTGTGATGATTCAAAAACAAACAGAGTTTAGTGTCTATATGACTGGAATGATTTGTAATGAGTACATCTTTTTTTTTGGTGGGGGGCAAAACCGAAATGTCCTCTACTTTCTCCTCGCAGGGCCACATATCTGGTAAACACATATTTGCTTTAAGGCTGATCGTATCAGTTTGGCAGCGGTGAAAACAAAAGGGCAGGAAACTCCTTCAGCCACACGCGCACCACTGCAGTTTCAGAGAATACACTTCCTCTCTAAAGTGTGTACAAAATAAACGAACAAGTAAGTCACCGAACTGCAAGCTCTGAACACCAGGAACTGAAAGGTGTAAGAAAGTTCATGCTTAACTTGGAATCTTCTATATATGTGTGTATTTATGTACTAATTAGCAAATATTTGTCAAGATTGCATTTGAAACTAAAAGTTCATTCATGACTTGTGAAAAGGAAAATAGTCCTCTCAGATGATGATGTTGTCATTTTTCTTTCGAGTTTCACAAAAAGATGAAGAAAAAAAAACCAGTTGATTAAAAAAAAATTCAATAACAAGTTCATATGTGTCCCTGTGATGGACTGGAGACCTGTCCAGGGTGTCCCCCACCTCTCACACAGTGACTGATGGGCACCAGTGACCCAAAAAGGAATAAGCGGGTAAAGATGATGGATGGATGGATGGATGGATGGATCAGATTTGCACCAGCGTCTCGCTGGACTATAGGAGTTTTCAAGTTTACAGATTAGGATCGCCCCTCATGAAAGTGTCTTGTTAAAATTATAATTTATTTGAAAAATAAATAAATAAACTCACCCTGTGAGCCTGAACATCGTCAGATTTGCAGTGAGTAAAAATTAGCATTTAAAAGTTAAAGAACCAAATCATATGCGCCATGTTGGGCTCAAATAATTCAGATTTTTATTAACCGAAGTTTCCATTGTAAAATAAATATTCTGAGATAATAAAAAAGTGCTTGTTAAGAAACTTGCTTCTAGTTTAAATATTTGTCTTTTTTTCTTTATCATTTTGTGAGCCAGCTCTAAAGAACGCTCCAAAAGCAAAGTAAAGTTGCAGAAAGTTGTAATAATAAAGACGTTTAAAGGACTTTTCCTCCTCTCTCTAACCTTTGTTTTAGTCACTGATTTCCATTCTGTTTTTGGTCTACTTGCGAAAAAATAAAACTGGCGTCAGAAACCATCATAAATATAAACTAACCCTCCTCCACTTGACAAAAAAAAAAAACACTGACTGGACCTGATTCTGTGGGCCTGGGACAGATGATGTATGGAGTGACAAAGAATGGAAACAAACCAGGGCTGGACACACACACACACACACACAAACACACACACACACACACACAACCTGTTGGAGGGTCTGTGCTGCAGACAGGTCTGGGTTTATCCTAATTTACCACAAACCTGCCAACCATTTACCAGCAGGCATCACATCTACTTCTGACCCACTTCCATTAAGTTGCTCTCATTAGCTCATCTCAGAGCCGAGTTAAAAACACAGAACTTCCAGCAGCTGTTAATCCAGAGCTGCTTTGTGTAATCTCACCCAGCTGGATTCCTGCGTCTTTTGCTTTTGATTTAAAGCTTCACACGAGACAAAAAGGTCTGAAGACATTTTATTTTCTTGCAGTTGCATTCTTCCTGAATGATGCAAACAATTATTTAACAATCAGCTTGTTAAAAAATAAAGTTTGGTGTAAGAAAAGATCAATCCGGGGATAAAATACTCAGCAGCTTTCTTACTACTGTCAACAAGTGGGATTATAATAAAAGTGGAATAAATCGGGATTATTCCTTGAACTGAATCCGAGTTTTTATGCAGGAGGGGCTCCTCAGGACGAGGAGGAGGCTGAATCTGAAGTTTCTTTCAAGGTTTCTGCGTCTGGACGCGGAAATTACGCATTCCGTTTTGAGCTGGTCTGGGTCTTCCACGGCAGAGGAGGAGGAGATGGGGATCTCCCCCGTCTGAACACGTCTATAAAACTCCTTCTTGAGATGGAGGCATCAGTTTGTTGTTGCTGCCTGACCTGTCTCCACGAAAGGCTTCCATCAGGACCAGGACATGGCCCAGTTCCGTCTCTGTAAGTCTGCGCACTCATCTTTGACGCTCGTTTTATTCTCGTTTTACTTTTGATCTTTGCTGTCAGAGAACCTGAGCAGACTCGTTTGTTGCTCTGGGATTTGTGTTCAGACTTCACCTGCTGCGCGCTGCTGCTGCTCATGAACTGGCGCACATCCCGCGCGCTGCCGCTGCCCGATCCGAGCGCAAGCGGCGCGCAATGCGCTCCGCTCTTCAGGGGCCTCCTGACAAACATCACGGACCTTCTCCAGACTGTGAGCAGTTTCACTTCATCCGTTTCACCTTTTCCATCCCTGCGTGCCTCATCAGTGCTCAACAATTCTCCTTTGCGTTGCAGGAGGATCTGTGTCTGCACTTCATCACCTCCAGTGAGGTGACCATCCCGAGCGCGGAGACGGTGCAGGCCTGCGCGCCCGCTCAGGTAGCGCCGCCTTTCTTTCAATGACATGAACGGTTTCAAATGTTTGGAAAGTTGTCAAGTGAAATCTCTCCATTTATTCTTCGGGAAACATCTCACTGAAAGAATTTCCATGAAAAATTCCGTTCTTGTTTTAAATTTTTTTTCTGTCCAACAACTTTTAATTTGTTCTAATTGGACCTGATGTACGGAAGCTGAGAGAGGACATGCTTGGAAATAGATTTTCGTGAACTTATCTCAAGAAAATGACTATTGTATCTAGTTTTCTCTGGAGAACCGAGTTTGCTTTTACAGGATGAGTTAAAGTTACAAGAATTAATCCCGCTGAGCTTCATCTCTTTCATATGGGAGTTCTGGTTGAGAGCAGCGTAAAAGTTCCACAAGAACATTCAGATGACCATAAAACATTTGTGTGGCAGCAGGACAACATGTATTTACTCAAATGGTCCTTAATCCAACTTGTTAAATAATCCAGATGGATCATTTGTAACCAAGACAAAAGTACAAATACTTTAAAGGCACTTTTCACGTTCAAAAGAACGACATTTTGCAACAAGAAGTTAATTTGACCCAAGATTACAACTCCTGGTGACTTTAGGGGTCAAGAACAGGTGTTATAAAGAAAGGAAGTTTTGTATTTCAACCTAGAGAACTTTTTTTTTTTTTTTTTTGTGACAAGTAGAAATTATTTGAAAATCACAGTCAAGCAAAAAGCGTCTTCATCAGAAATCAGGACAGTCATAGAAGCTGACTACAGCTAAAAACATCTCATCAAGGAACAACCACTGTTTAAAGAACATCCCCACCGGGTGCAACACAATAACCCTGAACAGTTTTTTTCATTTTTAAATATCTATTCCTGAGGGAAAACCTCATCAAATGAGAAAAGCCGGTTGGACCGTTCTCATGTCTGAAAGGTGTTTTTCTTCCAGAGCTCCGGCTGCATGAGGCAAAGAGACTCATCCTTCAGTGAGGTATCCTTAAAGCCATTCTGATCATTTGGTCAGCTTTGAAAAGAAACGGCGTCTCATGTCGTCTTCCTTCTCCTCACAGAGTGAATGTCGGAGGAGCATCGCTTTGGACCTGGCCTTCTACGACGCTGCTATCCGGTCCTACCTCCAGTCCCAGCTCCACAGGCCCGACAAGGAAGAAACCCTTCTGGGACCAGTTCTGAGAACCATTCGGGATCTGAGGGAGGTGGGTTCATTATCATAAACTGAGAACGACAGAAGAAACGAGAGAAGAACATTTCTGAGCAGTTTGAACAATTCTTTCTTGGTCTGCGCAGGACTGTGCCACAACAGCCAGCGGTGACAAAGATCCCACGGAGGTATTCTGTTTATTCCTCCGTTTGTTTTTGTTCCTTATTTGCATCATCTTGCAGCCGCTGAAATGAAAACATCAAAATATTTCTCTGGTTTTGTTTTTCCCCCAACACTCGGGGAAGTTTCGTGTGAAACCCATGAGTCATTTGTCTGCACTCTGTTCGTCTTTCAGGAGGAGGCCGCCGACATGTGGAAAAACGACTCCTTCACCAACCGACAGAAGATGTGCAAGATGATGAGGGGCTTCCACGTCCGCGCCATCACCATCAACAGAGCTATGGGCTACATCTCCTCTGGGGACCACAGGAAGTAAAAAGCATCACAAGTCCTAATAATCCTTCACTACCATCACAACTACTGAACGCTGGTGCTTCTCACCAGGCAAAGCTGCGAATCTGTCTGCTGCTCAGGTGTTAGCTTCAGGCTAACTGTTGCTAAAGATGGCAGTTGAGGCCATGTTGGCCCGTCTTCATCTCTGAATGTATTCCACAAAGGACGTGTATTATTTATTTATTTATTTTCCTCATGGATATATTTATTTGATGGTTTGTAATTTATTCATTTATTGTTATTTATAATAAATTATTTGTGGCATCAAAAACCTGAAGCTGAATTGTTTTTTTTTTTGGTCGAACCGATGATGCTCCAAGACCTGGGATTAGACATGGAGACTATATAATAATAATAATAATAATAATGTAGCGTAGCCATTTTCAAGCAAGTTTTAACAAGCTGCTAAGAATATAAAACTTAATTCTTAATTCTGTGCACAGCACTGTGCAAAACTCTTAAGCCATCTGTTATATTAGCCTCTAAACACCAGATGCAGATGTGCTGATCAATAGTTCAGACCTTCTGACGCTCCTACAAATGTGTTTTTTGTTTGGTCATTATTTTACTTAATTGTGATGTATGAATCATTTAGGCACAAAACTCTCTACTCAAAGATCTTTGGTTCAAAGACAAAAACTGTTACATCAGTACATATCATGGCTCCCTCCCACGGCGAACAGGGAGACTGTACAGATTAGCAGATTAAGACAAGTTTTTTTTTGGTAGCTGCTTTCAATCCATCCATCCATCCATCCATCCATCCATCCATCCATCCATAACATTGAATCCATTGTCTTCACCCACTTCTTACTCGGGGCCGGCCCAAGGCATAAATAAGCAAACTAAGCGACTGCTTAGGGCCCCGGGGCCACTAGAGGCCCCCTTATTAGAACACAATTTCATTATAAAGTTGTGATTTTTTTTTTATCTTGCATTACAAGTTATTTAGAACATTACTGTTACAGTTCTTTAGAACCAAAGATAATAAACCAAATGCACTTTCGCTGTAAAATACAATGCATACTGGTGTTTTTTCTTCTTCTGTTACTTTTAGTTCCACTAGTTTTCATGTGTCAAAGTCTAGGCCCGTGGGCCAAATCCGTCGCGCCATAACCATTTCTGTGGCTCTCTCACCCCAGAGCAGGGGTGTCAAACTCACAAAAGACGGCCAAAATTAAAACCTTTTTCAAACTAAGAGCCAATTTCAGAATCTACATTAACTCACATCAGATATCCGACATCTTTTCTTGATCACAGGTTCCTCAAGAGATTGATTGGTCTCATTTGATGTTCTCCGTTGTGCTTTCGACATCATAATCAAAGATTATTGAAAAAAATTCAAGACAAAGAAGTATTTTATGTTCAACATATCATCTTGGGGGCTAGATAAGACATCAACAAGGGCTACATTTAGCCCTCGGTCCTTGAGTTTGACACATGTGCCCTAGAGGGCCACAAAAACAGAACTTCAAGATAACAGTTGTGTGCTTCAATATTACTGTATCAGTCAAATCAAATCAGTTTTTAGTTTATAATTCAATTCAATTCAAATATACTTTATTAGTCCCAAAGGGAAATTATTTGTTGTTATAACTCGTTATCCTCATTTCATTAAGAGATGTTATAGATACTGATGGCTGTAGACAGGAAGGATCTCTTGTAAAGGTCCATCCCACAGTGGATCCTAAGAAACTGGCTGCAGATGCCGTCCGATCCGTCCACCCAGACTCGGCTGGCCTCGATTCCCCCGGGCTGTAGGATCGCCCGACTGCTGGGCAGAACTCCTCCCAGAGCAATGGCCATTTCTCCCAGCAGCCCGCCGAGCTCCTCGTCACTGCAGACAGCCAACTGTAGGTGCAGAGGGACAATCCTGTCCTTCTGCTGTCATGAGCCGTGTTTCCTGCTAGTTCCAGGATCTCAGTGATCAGGCACTCAAGCACAGCTGGCAGGTAGATGAGAATGAGTCCACAGAACATCCTTTCAACTCATTTGAGATTTGGGGCTGTAGTTGAGATATTATTTGAGCTTTGATGCCAAATTACTCAAAACATAAAATATTACATTTTTAGAAGTAGTCATCAAATGCAGAGAAAGATACATTTTACCAGTTTGTTAATAGTTTTATCAATACATTCTGCCATGTCGGGCCTTTTGTGAACATTCGTGAGCTTGATGTGGCCCAAAATGAAAATGAGTTAAACACCTCTGCACTAGATGATGTCATACAGGATCATGTAAACAGGGCTGTCAGAGCTGTAATGAGTTTATGTTTGGTGGGTGAATGATCTGACTGGTGATTGCAGTAATCCACATTATTAGCAGAAATAGAGGGCCTCATGGAGGCTTGGGCCAGCCCTGTTCTGCCTTTTCAGGTCATGGGGGTCACTGGTGCCCATGTCCAGCTATTGCTCTGCAAGAGGAGGTACCCTGGACAGGTCTCCAGTCCATCACAGGGACACATGGAGACAAGCACCCATTCACTCTCTAACTCACCTGAGGACAATTTAGTTACCAATCAGCCCAACATGCATGTTGTTGGTCTGTGGGAGGAAACTGGAGAAAACCCACACATGCACAGAGAGAACATGCAAACTCCACTCAGAAAGGTCCTCGGACCAGGATTTGAACAGAACCTGCTTGCTGAGAGGCAGCAGCTCTACCAACTTTGCCACCGTGCTGTCATCCTGTGTAATATATTTATTCAGTCAAAAGCTGACTTTAACTCCAAAAATCTTTGGAAGGATTTGAACGCAACAAAAACAAGATTAGAAAAGACAAACAAAACCATTGGAGGCAGTTTTGTTTTATTCTCTCAATTTTAAAATGTTTCCATGAAAGATAAACAATACTTCTTACAGTTTGCCATTTTAAGCTTTTTTAAGTGTTACACAGCTTTACGCCAAGCATGGTACCTAAAGAAATCCAAAGCATATACAGTGTAGTTTTACTTTATTTTATTTTACTAGCTGGTTTGTGAAAATGACTGGACAGCAGATTGAAAAACAGATTTTTTGTCCACTTTAAGCTGCACTAACAGTAAAAGAAATTCATCCATAAACACAAGCGTGTGTTGAATGTTTTTATTTAGAGCATACTCATTTTCCAACAACAGCATGCATGTTCTCTTCTTGAGACATTAGGAAGTAATTCCCAAGAAAAATTAAAAAAAATTTGGTCCTTTTTCAAGTCGAGTCGAAGATATGAAATAAAACGCCAACAACAGAAAATAAACGTACAAAAATAAAACTATACATTTTGTTTTAAAACGTGACGAAAATAAAAAAGGTACATATAAAATCCTTGAGAAAAATGAGTTCCATAAT